GTTATTGGAAGCTTGTTAAGTTGATGATTCCCTAGAGCATGTTTCAGCCATTGGTTGGATAAATATATAAGAAGTTTTTTTTGATTTTGTTTGATGCTTGGAATCTATTATTAGTATCATTCTAAGGGATTGTAAGGTGAGAGAACCTTAGTATTTGGGATAATTTGTCTTGACTTGAAATTTGGCATGAATTGCTACGTGAAATGTAATAAGATATGATGTTCGAAAATTGATGAACGATTAAAGTGTTGAACTTTGTCATTTTAAACACTTGAAATGGAACTTTATAGTGTTGGTTGTTGTTTGTTGGTAATCTAGGCTTGGAGCAAGTGATATAGTGTTGGAAGATCAAGCTTAGAACTAATCCAGAGTAGGAAGCCCTAGTTCTTAATTGAACAAGAATAGGGTAAGTATGTTTAAATTATGTTTGTGTTGATGTTTTAACCATAAGGTCAATATTTGATGCATGATGTGAATTATTGACTTAATATCATCTTGAACTAGGTGATTATGATGTGGAAGTCATTTGGATTAGCTTTCTTGAATTTCAAGTAAACTTGAAAAGGAAGCTACAATAGATAAGCTCTTGGTTTAGGAGTTATACTCCTCCTTATTGTTCCACCATAGTCCAATGAGATTATAATTTTGATATGTATATGATTGTATGAATGTTAGATACTTATTATATTTGCATTCTAGTAGGATATTTATATGTGATGATGTGATATGAAGGATAAGCTCTATGTATATGATTTTTGTGGTTCCCTGGCTAGTAGGATGTGTTTGTGGTCTGAGAGTTAAGGAGCCAGGTGGATGGGCTTCTCTCGAATGTGTCTATGAGTTAAGGAGCCAGGTGGGTGATATTCTCTTAGATTTTCCTTGCAGAGTTAAGGTGTCATCAGGTGGGTGGTCTTCTCTCAAGGTATCTGATTAGTTTTGGACTATCCTTAAGAACTTAAATTCTTGGAAGTCACATGTATGTGATAAGCTATATAATGTTTGCTATACTTTTTGATCTGACCTTTCAAGCATGAAGTGAACTCATAGGTGGAGATTGTTCCATAAACCCTGGGGAACATGTTTTAGGTACTTCAACAGCAGGAGAGGGGCCCTGACACGGCAAGAAGGACGACGTTTTGGTTGTATGAGTTGGTTACTTTTTCCTTTTTCTTTTCTTTAATTTTTGTGTTGTTTTGGTGTTACAAAAACTTATAATACTCTCCTTATTGACTATTATTGCTTTTTTCTGTTGTCTGTCTATTTTGGGTAATAAGACAAAGGCTGCAACAGATAATTTTTTCTCTCTTACGCTAGTTTTTTCTGCAATTAACCCCTGTTAACTTTTTCATCTCTTTTTCTCCTTTCCCTCCAAGTAATTGCATTAGGTTATGGATTAGGCCTATTCAAATTAGTCCTTCGGCCCCCTGAAATTTAAAACAATATATTAAGCCAAAAATATAAATAAATTAAGTCATTTTATACCCGCCACGCCCTGGTTCCTAAATTCATGATTTGCTCTGGCCTTGATTACATAATTGTGCTCCTAAATGCAAAATTGGGCGTAAGCAACAAAAATAAAAGCAAAAATTAGCGAAATCGGGAGTTAAATAAGCAAGATAGCTCTTCACTCTTGGGAGCTATCAATTATTGAGATTTTAAGATAATTACGATAGATTTTCTTTCATTACGAGTAAACAAAATTCTATATTTTGTCTCATCGATTGCTTCTTCAAAGATAATCCCAACATTTGTCATCTTTCTTCCGCTTGTTCCATTAGACATATTTCTTTAAAGCATATATGTGAATTAATTTCTCCATTGCCTCTTTGAGGTGGAAGCATTTGTCAATGTTATGGTCGTAGCCTTTATAAAACTCACAATACTTTGATCTCTTTCTCTAAGCTTCATGTAGGACGGGGTGGCCTTTCAACATCATGGAATTCCATGTGCATTACTTCCTAGAGGATTTGAGATCTGACAGTGTTGAGAAAAGTAGAATCATCGTAGTCATCTCTCTTCAACCTACTACTCTTATCTCTTTTGTCGGCAAATGTTCATGGAGGAGTTCTCACAATCAGCTTTGTCTTCCTTGTGGTTGAGCTTAAATTCTTCAACTTTCATGAAACCTTGTGCCCGACACTTAACTTCCTTCATGTCATTTACCTCATATTGTGGGAGCTCATAGGTAAATGGTCCACTCAAGTGGTCAAAAGTGAGAATATGGACTTGCACTTCAGGGTCTAGGCCCTTTACTTGAAATACCTCCATGTGGAAATGCTTAATGTAGGAGCGAATGGGCTCACCGACTTAGGAGCTGAGCTGCTTATAATAAATTGATTTTAGAAGTTGCTGGCTTAGTTACTGATATGTGTCCAACATATAGTGCTTTCTAAGTTAAAAGAAGAAATGAATTAAACATAAATGTGTGAAAATAAGTCATAAATGCAAGAAATATTGATTATTCCTTCTCAATCATTCTCTCACTCAATTTATGCATTTTAATAGCAGGAAACACCAAAAATGAAGTGAAGGAGAGAAGTTGAAGTTCTATAGCCAGCTCATTTTGCGCGGAGCATGGCGCATTCCGCGCCATTCCAACATGATGATCCTGTATCTCCGCGCGATCTGCGCTGAGCATGGCGCAAATCGCGCCATTTGGTCCAAATCACTTCTGTATCTCTGCGCGATTTGCGCAGTGACTGGCGCAAATCGCGCCATTTTGAAGTTTCAACTCTGTTTTTCGCGCGATTTGCGTGGATGGTGGTGCAAATTGAGCGGGCGATACCTTTTAATTTTAATCTCATGCGAATTACACAAAAAGAGGGCCCAAAATGAGAGCAATTGAAAGTAGGTTTTCCTAAAACCTAATAAAAGGATCAGAAACAGAGGAATGAGACACTTTTTAACAACAAGGAAAAGAAAGACAACAAAGAGAGTGAGAATTCTTGGGAGCTTCTTGGAGTTTCAGAGATTCGAACGATCAAGACAGAAGATTTTCATCTTCTTTCTCTTCTCTAGGTTCTGAATTTAATTTTCTTTTAAATTGATTTTATCAGACATGAATATGTCTGGCTAGTTTTTATTATTGTGGTAAGGGTCACAACCCTTGATGTGAACCCCATTAGTTTGGTTGAATTTATGCTTATCTTTTTAAATTGAATTTATCTTGCCTTGTTCTTCATTCCATAATTCTTTAAGAATCGATCAATCTATTAGGATTGCGAGGGTTAGGGTTTTCAATAGGGATATAGGAATTCTAATTTCTGACAAAAGGTAAGATAACTGTTCATGTATGCACTAGAGATAGGCTATATGAACCGCAAATGTTAAAGATTCATTGTTTCTAATGTTTAAATTGAAAGGGAATTTCTAAGGGATTAGGATTCTAATAGAGTTAATAAGGTTAGAGTCACTAAGGAATTAAGGTTTAACTAATCATATAAAATATGATGAATTGTTTGATCAATTGAATGGGTAAAAGTAAATGTAATCCAAGTTGCAAGGTAGGGATCATAAAGGTGTTGGCGTCTCTTTACCGCAATATTTTCTCAAATATTTACTCAACCTTTATTCCGTTGTTCTTGAATTTCTTTAAGAACCTTTGAATCATTTACAATTTCTTGAATAGTGCTCAATTATTTCACAAACCACAATTATTCTCAAACCATTTTTATTAATCCAACAAGAGAGGAATAGTTATAATAACTTCGGTGCCTCAATCCTCGTGGAGACGATACTATACTTACCCTTTTATTACTTGGAACGATCGGTACACTTGCCGATTTCGCAACAAGTTTTTGGCGCCGTTACTGGGGATTGAATACGCCAAGTTTATTAATAACTTTTGATTTTCTTGATTGGATTTTGTGTTACTAATCTGTTTGCTTTAGTTTATGCGTGGTACAGTTTATCTTGGAAATTTGATCTACGATCCAGAGATAGAAAGAACTGCAAGAAGAATAAGACAACTTACTAAGTAGAAGAAACAAGCAGAAATTTCTACTTCACCTTTTGAGGTAGAATCAGAGATGGCAGAAGCCAACCCACCACCGGAAGAAATGTTGATGGAGTCAATCTTGGCTCCATTGTTTACAAGGCTAAATTCCAGCATTATCAGGCCACCGATAGATGCCAACAACTATGACATCCATCCGTCGCTGATCATATTGGTGGCAAAAACTCAGTTTGGGGGGTAAGACTATGAAGATCCTCATGACTTCATAGACATATTTTTAAGAATCTGTTATACAACCAAGCACTACGGAGTATCAGATGATGCAATCAGACTCCAGTTTTTCTCGTTTGCTGTGACCGGAAAAACTCTCAGATGGTTGGATCGACAAGCTCCCAACATCATCAGAACATGGGATGAGTTGACAGCTAAAATCTTTGCTAAGCATTTTTCTATGGAAAAGTACAACAAGTTGGTAAATGAAATTACCAACTTCACTCAACAATCGGGAGAGAATCTTTGTGCAGCCTGGACCAGATTTCAAGAACTGATCCAGAAGTGCCCTCAATATGACTTGCCAGACACAAAGAAGATCAGAGTCTTCTATAATGGAATGACACCTGATTCCAGAATGATTGTCAACGGTGCAGCTGGTAGAACCATAGGAAAGAAGACAGCAGCTCAAACCTTAGAGCTGATTGAATTTATGGCAAGGAATGAGAATGTATCTACTGCAGTCCAACCTATTCAGCTAAAGAAAGGACTCTTACAACTGTGGAACAATGATATGTCACTAGCTGAGCAAAAGGTGATCTCTCAACAGCTAGCCAGTATGAATGCCATGCTAGATAAGATGCAAGTCTTTACAGCTCAAGTTAATTTAGTTAACTGTGAGTACTGCAAAGGGGAGCATGAGACTAATGAGTGCCCAACACTCATGGTAGCTGAACCGTCTCAAGTCAATGGAGTTTGGTATGATCCAAGGCCACCACAGAATACTTAAAATTTTCAAAGAAATCAGAATAATGCTCAAGGGAGCAATTTTCAAATGAGAGCTCAAGGTGGCGGCCTTGATTACAAATCCAACAACTATTTGCAACCTCCACCAATTCCGCAGAGCCATACTTCTGAATTAGAAAAAGCATTAATGCAATTGACCAAGACGACTACAGATTACATGCAGGGCACTGATGCCTTCAGGAGTGATACAAGTGCATTTATTCATGAAGCAAGAACATCCTTTAAAAATCAAGACAGCTTCCAGGTAACACTATAGTCAATCCAAAGGAAGACTGCAAGTCAATTATCACAAGAAGCGGAATTGTGATTTCCTCAAGACAAACCAAAGGTGGCTCAGAAAAAGAAAGTGGATAAGCCAGTCATTGAACTTGAGCACGAAAAAGAGGAGGAAGCACTTGCAAATGAGAAAGAAAAGCCTGCGAAAAAAGGAAAAGAAGAGGCAAAGGAAAAACCTGCTGAAGCTCCAAAGAAGCTGATGGATTATTCTCGTTTTGAGAAACCTCCTTGTCCTATGAAGCTCAAGCAACAAGCACAAAAGCGACAATATGCCAGGTTCTTAGATATGTTTAAAAAGTTGCAAGTTAATATTCCTTTTGCTGAAGCTTTAGATAATATGCCTAACTATGCTAAATTCATGAAAGATTTGTTATCTAGAAAGCATAAGTTGCAGGATTGTGAGACAGTAGCACTTACTGAAGAGTGCAGTGCCATTATACAAAAGAAATTCCCACCAAAGCTTCGAGATCCTGGGAGTTTCAACATCCCAATTGCGATAGGCAACACTCATGTTGGTCGGGCACTTTGTGATCTTGGAGCAATCATCAACTTGATTTCGTTGTCAATATGTAAGCCATTGGGGATTTCTGAGTTGAAGCCAACCATGATCTCTTTACAGATTGCTGACCGTTCCTTGAGGAGACCTAATGGAGTCATAGAAGATGTCCTTATCAAAGTTGACAAGTTCATTTCCCCTGCTGATTTCATTGTGCTGGATATGGAGGAGGAGAGTGAAATACCCCTTTTGTTGGGTAGACCATTTTTGGCTACGGCTCGATCTATGATTGTTGTAGAACAAGGGAAGCTCGAACAGAGAATGAATGATGAGACAATCACTATCAATGTTTTTGATGCTATGAAGAACTCATCTGATCAAAGTGATTGCTTCAGACTTGATGTGTTTGAAGAAGTGGTCAAAGAGGGGAAGGTTGATGATCAAGAGCTTGAAGAAGAGTTGAAAACTCAAGAGGAAGCTACTCCACAAGAAGAGAAAGAATTTGTTTTTGAGGTACTAAAAAAGAAAGAAAATGATTTAGTCACAGTAGTACCAAAAACAGAATTGAAAGAGTTACCTAAAACTCTGAAGTATTCCTTCTTGGGAGATGAAAAGCAATATCTTGTCATCATCAATAAGGAGTTGTCTACGGATGAAGAGAAGAAGCTGTTAGAAGTACTCAAGGAGCACAAGACAGCTATTGTGTGATCTATTTCTGATTTGAAGGGCATCAACCCTTCTTTCTGCACTCACAAGATTCTGATGAAAAATAATGTTAAACCTGTGAGGCAACCTCAGAGAAGACTAAATCCCACGATGAAGGAGGTAGTCCGCAAGGAAGTGGTGAAACTCATGGATGCCGGTATGATTTACCCAATTTCTGACACTGTATGGGTAAGTCCAGTACAAATAGTTCCAAATAAAGGAGGAGTGACTGTTGTGAGAAATGAGCAGAATGAGTTAATCCCCTCCAGAACCATTACTGGTTGGAGGATGTGCGTTGACTATAGAAGATTGAATGATGCTACAAGGAAAGATCATTTTCCCCTTCCCTTTATTGATCAGATGCTAGAAAGGTTGGTCTGTCATGCTTTTTACTATTTCTTGGATGGTTATTCTGGTTATAACCAAATTCCAGTAGCACCTGAGGATCAAGAGAAGACTGCTTTCACCTGTCCCTTTGGAGTTTTTGCCTACAGAAGGATGTCATTTGGCCGCTCCAATGCACCTGCGACATTTCAAAGGTGTATGCTTTCTATTTTCTCTAATATGGTAGAAAAATGTTTAGAGGTATTTATAGATGATTTTTCTATTTTTGGTTCTTGTTTTGATTCATGCTTAGTTAATTTAGCTAAGGTTTTGAAAATATGTCAAGAAACAAATCTGGTTTTAAATTGGAAAAATGCCATTTTATGGTACGAGATGGCATAGTGTTAGGCCATAAAATTTCTAAAAAAGGCATTGAAGTTGATAAGGCTAAATTAATGTTGATTGAAAAACTTCCCCCTCCTGTTAATGCTAATGGTGTGCAGAGTTTCTTAGGCCATGCAGGTTTTTATCAGAGATTCAACAAGGATTTTTCGATGATTGCAAAGCCTCTTAGCCAACTGTTGGTAAATGAAAAAGAGTTCCTTTTCTATGAAACTTGTCTCAATGCATTCAATGTGTTAAAGGAAAAGCTTACCATGGCGCCTGTGCTGACGGCGCCAGACTGAAGTCTTCCGTTCGAACTCATGTGTGATGCGAGCGCATACGCCATGAGTGCAGTACTTGGTCAACGTAAGAACAAGTTGTTACATGTTATTTACTATGCTAGCAAGGTTTTTAATGAGGCACAAGCCAACTATGCCACTACTGAAAAAGAGATGCTAGCAGTAGTTTATGCGTTAGATAAATGTAGATCTTATTTGATAGGTTCTGAAGTTATTGTATTTACCGACCATGTTGCTCTTTAGGATTTGATGACCAAGCAGGATGCAAAGCCACATTTGTTGCGTTGGATGTTCTCTTTCCAAGAGTTTGACTTGGAAATCAGAGACAAAGCTAGAGTGGAAAATAAAGTTGCTGATCACTTGTCTAGGATTCAAGATAAAAACTTGCAAGAAGGACCTGAAATTGAGGTTAATGAGTCTTTTCCTGATGAGCAAGTGATGGCAGTGATTATGAGCCCATGGTTTGTAAACTTTGCAAACTACAAAGCTGTTGGATTAATGCCTGATGACTTCACTTGGCAGCAGAAAAAGTAATTCCCTCATGATGCGAGGAGGTATCACTGGGATAACCCTTTCCTTTATTTTCAATGCGCTGATTGTATTATTCGCAGGTGTGTTGCTGAATTCGAAATGCTAGATATTATGTGGCATTGCCACGCATCTGACTATGGAGGACATTTTGGAGGCAACAGTACTGCACAGAAGGTGCTGCAAAGTGGATATTATTGGCCTAGAATCTTCAAGGATGCACGAGAGTTTGTGGAGAAATGTGATAAGTTCCAGAGGACAGGAAACATATCCCGCAAAGATGAAATGCCCCTTAACTGCATACTGGATGTAGAATTGTTTGATGTTTGGGCAATTGACTTTATGGGACCATTCCCCAAGTCATATTCTAACCAATACATCTTGGTTGCTGTGGACTACGTGTCCAAGTGGGTAAAAGCGGTTGCTTTGCCTATGAATGATGCAAAGGTGGTAGTTTCTTTCTTACGAAAGAATATATTCACCCGCTTTGGAGTTCCTCGTGCGATCATCAGTGATGGTGGCACTCACTTCTGTAATATGCAGTTTGAGAGCTTGCTTACAAAGTATGGCGTCACTCACAAGGTGGCTACACCATACCATCCTCAAACCAGTGGGCAAGTAGAGATTTCAAATAGAGAGCTGAAAAAGATTCTGGAGAAGACATTGGGAAATTCAAGGAAGGATTGGGCTAAGAAACTGGATGATGCACTCTGGGCACACAGGACTGCTTTCAAAACACCAATAGGTATGTCACCATTCCAACTGGTGTATGGTAAGTCTTGTCATCTTCCTGTAGAACTAGAACATAGAGCTTTGTGGGCTATTAAATTTTTGAATTTTGAACCATCAAAGGCTAATGATAAGAGATTACTGCAATTAAATGAGTTAGATGAGTTCAGGTTAGCAGCTTATGAGAATGCCAGGATTTACAAAGAGAAGACAAAGAAGTGGCATGACAAGAAGATTCAACCAAAAGATTTTGAGCCAGGACAACAGGTATTACTATACAACTCTCGACTGAGGTTGTTTCCAGGTAAGCTCAAGTCTCGTTGGTCTGGTCCATTTGTAGTAAAAAATGTTTTTCCATATAGTACAGTTGAGATTTCTCCTCTCAACACTGAAAGACCTTTCAAGGTCAATGGGTGTAGATTGAAGATCTATCATGGAGGAGAAATACATAGGGAAACAATTGTTGTTCCTTTACTTTCTCCGGAAACTTAAAGAGTCCGCGTCAGGCTCGTGACGTTAAACAAGCACTGGTTGGGAGGCAATCCAATAACTTTTGAGTCATTTTCTTATTTATTTATGTTGAGTCTTTTCAGTTTTTAGGAAATGGTTAGTTTTTGAGTCAGGAAAACAGAGCATCGCGCAAATTGCGCGGTGTCTGGCGCAATCCGCGCCATTTTGTCTTGGAGCCCACTGTTTGGCGGCGCGTTTTGCGCGAATCGTGGCGCAAACCGCGTCATTTCAGGGAAATGGCTTCTGTCTTTCCACGTCATCCGCACGAAAGCCTGCGCAAATCGCGCGGCTGTGCGGGATTTTTAAAATTTCAAATTTTAAAATAAAAAAACGGTTACAAAATTTAAAAATAAAAATAAAAACCCTACCCACCCCCCCATATCCCACCACTCCCAAAACTGTCAGCCACACCTGCTCATATCTCAAACTCTTTCAGCTTTCCATTTTTCCATTTTTGTTTCAATATTCTTTCTTACACCTTTGGGATTACACACATTGCATCCCAAATTTTGTAAATCAAAGGACGGATCATTCTCATAGTGATCTTGGGGAAAATCATATTCAAATTTTAATCTTCAAGTACCTCTCATTCTTGCATCCATGGCTGGAGAAAAGGTAAGTCCCTCACTTTTATACTCACATCCTTGTTGTTCACTATGTTGAGTAGAGCTTTTATGAAATGCTGATAAGAAGTTTGGTAGAAAGAAATAAAATTTTTGAAGGAGATCATCTTACCTAGCCCGCGCAGATCGCGCGGTGGCTGGCACAGATCGCGCCGGCTGGGTTTTCATAAATTCGTTCATTCCCCAGATTGCGCGGTGTCTGGCGCAGATCGCGCCGACTGGGTTTTGATTTGCATGTTTTCAGCTCGCGCCAACCGCGCCGCTGGATTATAATGCTCTGTTTTTCATTAATACTTATCGATATACATGTACTTGTTATCCGTATGCAAGTATTGCGATGAATTTGATTAAAGTTTTATCACATGTTGAGATAATTGATTTGGATGAGTTATGATTTATTTTTGTGATCATTGATTAAATGCATTAAATAATCTTACATGGTTCCAAATTATTGAAACTGAGCCTTGCCTTGAACTCAAATCTAGGAACTGTGCTAATAGGAGTTTTGAAATTGTGAATTGTACTGAATCTGTTTTGCAATATATTGGTTGTACTTTTCTGAGTTTCAGGGAAAGAAGGTTAACAAGAAGGACGCCCAGGGTGGTCAAAAGAAGACCACAGCTACATCTGGCAGCAAGAGGCCTATGCATTCTTCCTTTGATGAGAGTAGGTTTCTTTCACTGGAGTGCCAGCAGAGATATGAAAACCGGTATGGGCCTAAGAAAATCATTCCTGAAAGAAAGATTGATCTGGAAGGTCTTCCTGAAGATTCTCCCATTCTGGCAGTGATAAGAATGAGGAAGTGGGAGAAGCTGGTTACTTTTGCTGAGCCTAGTCCGAGCACTATTCTGAAGGAATTCCTAGCTAATGTGAATTGAGAAGATGAAAAGAAATGATTTGACAGGTGAAGCAGCTTTTTGGCATCATTTTAATAATGCCACAGTCATTCCTTCCACAAACGTCACAGATATGAATCTGGAGAGAGCAATATTGCTTTATGTGCTGATGAGGAAGAGCAACCTTGATATTGCTAGGGTTCTATCTGATAGGATCCTTAAGGTCATACGAGATGGCAACAGCAAGAATAGAATTGCACACTCCTCCTTGATTATGCATCTGTGTATCAAGGTTGGAGTTGACATTTTACCAGAGGAGCCCAGAGATGTACCATTGGACAAGACCATGACACATAAAATCTATACAGACATGGTCGAGGATGCGAGGCAGGATCAGATTGTTCGAGCTTCTGAGTTGACGTCAGAAGAATTAGCTGCTAGGAGCCCTCGCCGAGCACCACGTGCTTCCTCCAAGGAGCCTCGCCCAGAGTCACCTATCCCTCCACGGGCATCATCTTCCTCCACCTTCAGAGTTCCACGGCATGACCTCGTCTATGAGGATTCCCCCAGCTTTTTTTGGTCATTCAGAGTGACATACAGACTATTCAGGGAGCTTATCATACTCGTATGTTTGAGGACATCTGCAAGCATTTGTCCATTGACTACTCTACATATCAGCCACAGTATCCACCAGTTCCACCATCATATCGGCCACCGGCACCATATTTCCCATCACCTCCTCCAGCAGCTGACGTCCCTTCTGAATTTTC